TCGGTAGCGGTGCCTTTCAGCGGATCCATCGCAGGGAAGCGTGTCGGGGTTTACATCGCTGCGTTGTAAAGAACGCAGCAAGGAGAGAAACGTGAGTCGTTAAAGCACCCGAAGTTAAACCGGGATGGAACGGCAGAAACGCTCTCTGCTGATGGCTTCCGCCGCCTGCGCGCGGGGCGCACGTTATCCCGATTCTGCCGGACGGAAAGCGGCAGAGAGATCGACCGGATTCTTCGACGGAGCGATAGGAGCAGGGCCCGGCGGGCATCTGTGGCTGAGGTACGGTTCGGAAACCTTTTACGGTGACGTTTTCCATGCAGGAAATGGTCTCCGAGCTGCAGAAGCTGGCGCGGCGGGACCACAGCGCCTTGGACTGCTGCGTCGTGGTGATCCTTTCCCACGGCTGTCAGGTGGGCTCGTCGCATCCCTCCCTTGGCTCCGTCGGCGGGCCGCCTGCCCGGGAAGGGGTCCGTTCCCTGCGCCGCAGTCTCGCGTGGGGTGGGAGAGACGCCATCTGTCGTGAGCGACGCGACGGCCGTTCTGCCGTCATGGTGCGTTGCGAAGAGTCGCGCTCTCCTGTCTGGCTTCAAGGAAACGGGAGCTTCTCCAGCGTAGCATGATCCAGCGTTGCCGGTGGACAAGCGTTCTCCGTCTAGGAAGTCGGGGTGTAGAATTGAGAACGGAACGATGGGCAAACAGGGAAGGGGGGTAGCGCCAACCGTCACGCTGTGTTCGTTCGTCCTTGTTTCTCCCGCTCTGAAGAGGGAGACGCTATTAGCAGTAAAGCCCCTTATTGCAAGTCGGAGGCCTCGAAGGATGCGGATTGTTAGGAAAATGGTGTATGTTACGTGCCCGTTGTCCCAGAGGATGCAGAACTCTGGCGTGGAGGAGGTGGGATGGGAGCTGGTTAACAGGAGGAGCCGGATCGCTGGGTTTCAGAGCGTTTCAAACGCTTCCAGGGCGTCCTCTGGCCCTGGCGCGGTGCACGTGTCATCCAAAACGTGAGGAAGTGAGATTTATGTTGGCAACTTTAGGCTCCAAAGTACCCGTTTGGAAACGGGCTCCCTCGGAACCGGAGTCGCCTTCCGCGTTACTAGCTTTTGGATTTTCCTCTTGCAGATGAGCCATATTCAGTTTCCTGGAGGCGTTTACGGAACGGATGGAAAACCCATTGCGATAGAAAAGATTGTGAACTATTTCAATGGGTCCCGTTGCCCGAGTTTGAGAGGAAAACCCAAACTCTTCTTCATCCAGGCCTGTGGCGGAGGTGAATCTTTGTTTTAGCCCCCGAAGCGAATCCGCTGTCGGGCTTCGGAGACGTGGTTAGACTTTGGCTTCTCGCTCCCTTTTTGTTTGTCGCCGGTGTCTCCAGCCATCTTCTCTTACTCTTGGCCGCGTGCTTTTACCGCCGGCGCGGATTGAGTCCGAGGACTCAACTGCCGGCCTCTCCTAGTAGGGCAGGACCTGTATTCGTGCACCGGAGCAGTTTTTCCCCACGGTAGTGACGTGGGGGGGAAGGAGGGCAGTAGCCGCAGTGCGCGGCCGGGCAGCGCACGGGCAGCGCACACTGAGCGGCCGCTCCCAGCCCTCAGCCGGGG